ATTTGAAAACATTTGGATGAGTTTTGAAATCTAGAAATTTTAATTAAATGAATTAATTAAAATCTTTTTCATGGTTCCAATAATTTTATTAGGTTTCTAACTTGATATTTGTAATAATTAGGACTTGTTCTCTAGCATATATTAATATGGGGCCATTTGGAGTAGCTTTAAAATCTAGAAATTTAATTATTGTATTTTAATTAAATTCTATTTAGTTGTTTCAATGACCTAATTAAGTTTTTGATTTGATATATGTAATGACCATGCTATAATCTTTGACATATATTAATTAGAGATTATTTGGATGAGATTTGAAATTTAGAGAAATTAATTATTTTATTTAATTAATTTCTATTTTTATTGCATTAATGATTTAATCATGTATTTGATGTTGATTGTATGTTTAAATCATGATTTCGGACTTGTATTATATTCATGAGATTATGTTTTAAATATTGAATAATATTGTTATAGCATATAACGAATCGCACGCTGAAGATTCGATATGTGATGTTATTGCAAGTATAACGAATCGCATACTGAAGATTCGACATGTGATGTTATTGTGGCGTGTAACGAATCGCACAATGAAGATTTGACATTTTGTATGCCATAATAGTTGTGGACTTAGAGCATGTATTGTGTGCTTCCAAAATTGGTTTGTGCATGGTAGATAGTTTATTACCTTGTATATACATAATGATATATATATATATATACACACACACACACATTGTTGCACAATTTGTTTATTTTGGAAACTTGGGATGTCGTTTGTTTGATATGACTAGAGTCAAGCTCTAGAGTGAGAGATTAGCTCTCCCTACACGTGCGCACTAGGGAGGTTACCCGTGGTTTAGTAACCCTATAGTAACTACGTTGTCGGTCTAATCCGATATGATGTCCAAGTCTTTTACTATTTGATTTCGTATTCAATTCCAAGTTGTTAATTATGACTTATTTGTTATTCGTGAATTGATGTATAAAGTCTCTTTACGATTTTGTATACTAGTACTTGTATACTTGTATGCCTTAGAATTATTATTTCAAGGATTTGAGTAGTTGAGGTGATCATTTTGTTCACTTTGGAACATAGACATTAGGTGGTATAAACCACTTTAGTTGTTTTAGTATTTTAGATTTTAGGTTTATAACTTTGATAGTCTATATCTTGTTGCGTTGTATCTTATGTTCATATACTGTTTAATTGCATAAATATTGTAGTTTGTGCTATATTGTTCTAATGTAGCCTAGGAATGATCTTATAGACTCATTTGGAACAAAAACGCTAGGTGGCATGAACCACTTTAGTTGTTTTCACATTTAGATTTCAAATTGATAACTTTGATAATCTATATCTTGTTATGTTGTATCATATGTTCTTATATTGTTTAATTGCAGAAATATTGTGGTTTATGCTAGAAATACTTTAAAGTAACTTAGAATGATCCCTAAGTCTCACTTTTGACATAGACGTTAGGTGGAATGAATCACATGGATTAATTCATATCAACTTGCAAAACTTGTAAAACTTTAGGTCTTTGCATGTTCATTTTCCTACGAGTAACTTTAAGTTGGTCACCCTCAATGTTGGGATATTTTTCAGGCAAGAAGACATGGTTTTGGGATGCACAATATCCCTAGTTTGTTTTGTTTATTTGAAAGGTTTTTTTTTTATTTTTTATTTTTATGTAATTTTGATCACATGCAAGTGTTAGCATATTTAAGTTTTACTTTTAAAGTTGTAATACTTAGCTAAGCTCAATATGCCGTTTATGCCTTGTAATATGTAAAGTGTACGTAGATATACTTTTTAGGACATATTTGATGTGTATATAATGAGGCTAAGGGCCATTTACTTTTAAGTTGCTTCCTTTAAGTATTTTTGGTTTCATGAGTAATTATTGAAAAATAGGAAAACATGAAGTCTTAAGTTGTTATTTTCAATTCGGATTGCACAAAGTGTGCCCAAGCATATCCATTAGGACTCTTTTAATATATTAGAGGTGTGGCCAAGGGCCATACGCCTTTCCATTTGCATCTAAGCATTTTAGTTTCAAGTATTGCCTTTAAACCTCATTCTAGGCAAATTTGAGGTTTGATAGGTCGAATTTTGCATCGGCAAAATCTAGTTTAGGGGCATTTTGGGGATTTGCTTTGAAAAATAAATTCTGACCTTGACATGGTCACATAGAAAACGTGATTTTAGGGGGGGTTTCTTCACAATATTTTTCCAAAAAATGTACTCTCGGCCTCGAAAATCTCGCGTCAAATCTGATTTTCTGATGCGCGCACTTTTTTCAAAAAAAAGTCTGGTTTAAGGGGCATTTTCGGTATTTTGGGGGGAGGGAGGGTTAGTTCACAACTTTTTTCCAAAAATTACCATTTAAGTCCTCAAAACAGCATTTCAAGTTAGGAATTTGGTGCAGGCCATCATGGCATGTCAGAGGGCTGCCATGCGCCCGAGCGGCTTGCGCCGTGGGCGCCCATAGTGCCCCCGTCTTGGCCGCATCAATGTCGATTTTTGTTTTGACCATAACTCCTTTGTCCGGACTCCGAATTAGATGATTCTTGAGTCAAACTTCGTTAATTTTTTGCTGTCTATCCAAAGGTGTACTCGATAGCACCCATAATCTTTTGTAAAATTACCATTTTTCCCCTAGGACTAAACTTATCCGTTTTTAAAACTTTTGTTTTCGCTCTGTTTTCTTTTGAGTCATGTGACTTCATAGGAAGTTACATTGGCGTTTTAGGGATGACGTATATCTCCCGAGGCTTTGTTTCGATGTGAAAAGACCATTTTACCCTTGGGGGCATACTTGGTCTATTTTTGAGTTTTTTCTTCCGTGTTCGTTCTTGTTGAGTTCTGTGGCCTCATGGAAGGTTATTTTGGCGTCTTAGATATGTATTGCATCTCTCGAGACTTGGTTTCTAAGTTCGCTTCTGCATTTAAAATCCATTATTGGGTCAAACTTCGGTTCATCACAGCACTGGCTTAAAAAATTAGGGTCGTCATAATAAGGTGGATGTGGTTTAATAGTTTTTCAAGAACCCAAATCTAGGAGAACACAAATCCAAATCCAGTAGAGCAAAAACAAAAAATTAATAATAAAGTATTAGGGACAGTTTATAACTGTCACAAATTTAATGATAAACCAAAAATAAAAAATAAAAAACCTATTAGGGACAGTATAAATTGTGCCTAATAAATAAGTATTAGGGACAGACAACAAAAATGTCTTTAATATATCAATTATTAGGGACAGTAAATACCGTCCCTAATAAATCAAAGGGGACGGTCTTGTTTGGGACAGTAAGTTCGTCCCTAAAGGTTGATTTTTTTTTAGGGACGAACATATTTTACTGTCTCTAAGGATTTTTTATCACGCAACTATTAGGGACGGACGAATTTGATCATTAGGGACGGTTTTAGGGCTTTTAGGGACATATTTGACCATCACTAAAAACCTAATTTCTTATAGTTCGGAAGGAAGGAAGGAAGAGGTGTGGAGAGAAAATAAGATAGAGTTCATTTGTTCGGTAAAGATAATACAATGAAAGAAAGGAGAACAGAATGGATGACCCATCCTTCCTCCTTTACAAATTTTCATCCGCCTAAAAATGGGCGAAAGAAAGTAGGAAAGACAAGTGAACTATTATAGAAGTTTTAAATTACTGTGCTATCCTCTATAAATTACAATATTATAAATATCATTAGATATAATGGTAAAAATAATTAAAACTTTTTTTTTTCTTTCTCTCCTAACGAACATAGTAAATTATGAGTTTATTATCTTCTTTTCTATCTAACCGAACAAAAAGAAAGAAATATACTATATCTTCCTTAGGGATATCTTATTCATCCCTTCTTATCTCTCTTCCATCTAATTTTTTTTTTACCCTTTTGGCCTAGCCCCACCCTCTATAATATATGTGGTAATTTTTATTTATTTATTATTTTTTTACTTTTTCCATATATATGAAAAAAATTATGCAATGACCCCCTAAATTTTGTGATTTCTAAAATTATTTCTTTATATTTTCTTTATTTTCTCTTTTACTCTTCAAATTTCTTAAATTTATTTAAAAAAAAAAGTCAAATTTCCTTTCTCAATTTTTTTTTCCTAGTTGGGACTCACACACACTGCCACTACTGAGATTCGAACACCTAACCTCCCTTTGAGAAGTAGGAGTCTTGTACCGCTAAGCCACAGGCCTGTTGGTAATTTCCTTTCTCAATTGAAACTTTAAATTTTTCTTTTTAAAATTCTCTCATTTTTCTTTCCTTTTTTTTTTTTTTTTTTTTTTTTTTTTTCTTAAAATTCTTCTTTTTAACATACATATTTGAATAATTCTCTTCATTTTCTTCTTCTTTTGTATTGTGTGTGTATATATATATATCTATATATTGCACTGTACCCCTGACTTGAAATTTTAGCTCCGTCCCTAGCTGGGTACCTCTTCTCTCTCTCACCTAAGGAAAGAGTAGGGTTGAGTGACACAAAAGTGCCAAGCTTCAGTTCATATCCATTAAATATGAGAATTTTTGTCATTTAAGATTATAAATATTTTGTATTAAATTATATTAAAAAATTAAGAGTAAATGGATCAATTCGCATGCCTCGGAATCCAAAAAGTAATTTGGAGTGTTATTAAAAATTAAAAGTAAAATATTTATTTATGTGAGATTGAACTTAACCTAAGCGGGTGTCCCTGTAATTTAGCTCTATATTAAAGAAGGACTCTGTTAATAACATTAATAAAGAAGAAAACAAAAAGGGAATCTATTGGCCAGAAACAAGTGAACCGCGTTCCATACGTGCCAGTCTTTGACCACCAAATATGTATAACGGGCCACCAATTTCCAAGTGTGCAAGGTCCTCCTTTTACACACATGCCTCTATCCCTTTTCGCAGCCGCCTTTTAATTTCAAGCCCGAAGCTTCCCCTACGCGCTGTTAACTCGGCATCTTTTCCTATATATACGCATACTCATATCAACACAGCTTATAAAATCAATTCAGCGGCTCAATCCTAGCTCATCTATATATAACCACCTTCTTCACTCTCGTTCTTTGTATACTTTCTTTGTGTCAATAGGATTATACACAAAGAACACACTCAATCGTGGTTTCAATACAATAGCTGATTACATGAAATCAGAAGCCACACTGCACTACTCTTCAACTTCATCACCAGTAGTAGTGAGTGGTAGAATCAAATCCGATTCGTCATCTGCTATCGGAAGATTATGTCGTAAGTTATCGCCGCGAAAGTTGCCGGAAAAGAGCTCGCTTCATTTGAGTCCACCAAGAAGTACGACTCTTGGTGCTAATGATGATGAGTGCAGTCATGAGATACAAAGGGTGTTCATGTACTTTGACGAGAACGGGGACGGCAAGATCTCACCGGAGGAGTTGCAGAGCTGCGTGAGGACGGTGGGAGGGGAGCTGTCGGATGAGGAGGCTGAGATGGCTGTCCGGTCATCAGATTCAGACGGAGACGGGATGTTGGGGTTGGAGGACTTCAGGAGGCTGATGGAGAATGGGGGAGAGGAAGAGAGGAAGGAGGAGCTGAGAGAGGCCTTTAAGATGTATGAAATGGAGGGGACTGGGTGTATTACACCCAAGAGCTTGAAGAGGATGCTGAGTCGACTCGGGAAGTCGTCCACTGTGGAGGATTGTAAGGCCATGATCAGCATGTTTGATATCAATGGTGATGGTGTCCTTAACTTTGAGGAATTTACCATCATGATGCACTGATCCATCAATACCATAATTTGCACATATATATACTCTTACTTTTGATTCTTCTAAATACTAATCAAGTTGTGTTTTACATTCATTTTTTTGTAATTTTAATTTAATTACTGAGGAGTTAAATACTAGCTTAATTTTTTCGGATAGGATATATATCTAAATTTTTGGAAGTCACAATTTTGGGATGCTTGTGGGGAGGTTAATTGACACAGCAGATTATGCAACCCTGCAATTTACTTCACAGTGGCACTTTTTTCCAAACTGACCATCGAATGGAAAAGGAAGGGAAAATATATATATATATATATACATACAAATAACATATTTTTGTTCTCTAATAGCAGCAATTTGAAAAGAAGCAAGAAAGCAAGGTGGTCTTATTTATGTAAAATTTGGTATGACAACCTTTCCTCACTTAAACAAGCAAATGGTTCAAAAATGATATTCTTATTCAGTAATCATTCAACTAAATTTAGTGAGATAAAGCGAAAAAAAAAAAAAGAAAAAGAAAAAAAAAAAAAAAAAGATTTTTACTTAAATAAAATGACCCACTAGGGAACCTAGAGATGGGACAAAAAGACACTTGCAAGTTTAGTGCCCCCAGACTAGCAGTCAAAGTCACGCCCCCAGACTAGCAGTCAAATCCATACAACAGAAATAAGACGTAGGATGACATATGCAATATGGAAAAACACATAATTAGATTGGAAAATTGCAAGAATAAGGCCCCCCATCACGTCGTCCCTATTCTCTACTTTATCGGGATAAATTGAAAAAAAGAAAAACAGAAGAAGCTATTTTTGGTTAATTTTGAGAGAGAAGGTATCTGTTAGAATATTCCCCCTCTCCTTAGACCAAGAAAAGTCAACAATTGCAATACACTCAAGGAAATGAAAATAATGAATACAATAATTGTGAAAATTTTTATGGCAAAATAGCAAAAAAATCCCTCTAAACTGTATTATTGTTACAGAATGTTTTTCTAAACTATTTTTGAAAACAAGTTGTCCCCTTGAACTATACCATTGTTACAAAATGTCCTCTTAAAGGTCACCGAAAATTAATTTTTGGCAAATAGAGAGATATAATTACTAATTTACCCTTACTTATTAATTTATTAAAAAGGATATAAAATTTCTAGGTATAAAATTTTACTCAAAACCAGCCATAACCACTAAAATGCAAAGTCAATTGAAATTCAATATATATGATTACAAAATCAAACTAATACAGTAATACATACTGTAGACACTAAAAATTTAATGGACTTTTGTTTTGACAAATTGACCCATTAAATATGGGTCTAATGTTTAATTAAATTATTTAATTGGCCTAAATTTGGTTCACTTAAATTATTTAATTAGCCCAACCCAGATGATTAAATAGAAAGATAATTATTTCTCATAAAATATATTTGAAATAATTATTTTTAAGGATAATTATTATAATATAATCAGTTCGGCCCAGTTATGATTTTTTCCTTATCAGGAGAGAACACGTATCATCATCCTATTAATCCAAGAAGCCTATAAATAGAGGCCTAAAGGAAGGAGGAAGAGGTATACAAATTTAGAAAATCCAGAGGACACACAAATTCAGAGTCCATAAATCCAGAAGGTACACAAATTCAGAGTCCAGAAATCTAGAGACTCAGAAATCCAGAAGGTCTAGAAATTGAGATAATCAGAAATCCAGAGAGTAAACCTGAAGGTGAAGAACAACATGCACATCAAATCGTGTCGTTCTTCATCCAAATTCCATAGTGATCAACAACAAGCACATCAAACCGTGCCATTCTTTATCCAAATTCCACAGTGATCAACAAAAAGCAAATCAAATCGTGTCGTTCTTCATCCAAATTCCACGGTGATTCAAGATCAAGCTCGTGCAGCCATTGAATCCAACCAACAAAAAAAAGGAGATCGAATTAGAGGACCTTATTCTTTGTAAAGAATATTACAGAGGTTTGTATTCCAATTTTTCTAATTTAATAAAATATTATTGTTGCTCCATATTTTGTTCTTATTTACATACTACAAAATTTGTGTGTACAAATTTCTGGCATGCCCGGTGGGACATCCTCTGCCTCTCATCTCTTTCTCCTACATTAAATCCTCAACAAAGTCATCGTCAGATTCTATGACTTCCAACAAGATTCAGACGGAGAACAAGAATACCACCAAAGACATCGTGATCATGAGGGATAATATCAATACCACCACAAAAGGTGGCAAGAAGGTTGCAACTTCGTTAAGTGGTACAAACACTTCTGGAAGTTCAATGATGTGGAGCATGGTCAAATCATTCGTTCCTACTAAAAAATAGCATGATGCGATAAGAGTCAATTCCGCCAAATTTGTCGAAGTAACAACTCAAACTCATACTGCCTTCACCTTACTGGGGGCAAGGAGGAAGGTTCCTACAACCTCAAAGGTTGCTCCAGTTATAAGTTCAAGTTCAAGGCTGGTCTACCAGCCAAAGATGTTTTCTAACTCCATCACTATGCCAGTCATGATGACGAGTACTACTTCGTACAAAGAGCAATTGACGACTATGGCCCATGCAATTGAAAGATTACAACACTCTTTTAAGGAGCAAGATCTGAAAATTGCCTCGTTGACAGAAAAGTTAAAATTGCGTGACGACAATGTTGAGTCAAGCAAAGGCCGAATTCTTCATTCTAATTCCATGCTAGAGAACACTCTAATTGATGATAAAAATAACGTGTCCGCCAATCCAACAATTGATGCTGCCTCTGTCACCTCACTTTCTGTCCAACAACTTCAAGACATGATAGTGAATTACATAAGAGAACAATACAATGGCGTTTCTCAAAGTGCTTACATGTACTCAAAGCCTTACATGGAAAGAATTGACATCTTAAAAATGCCGGTTGGGTATCAACTTCCAAAGCTTCAACAATTTGTCAGAAAATGCAATCCCAAGCAACATTTCACACACTTTGTAGAAACTTGCGGTAATGCTGGTACAGATGGAGATCTTCTTGTCAAACAATTCGTTCATTCCCTCAAAGGGAATGCATTTGATTGGTACACAAACCTCAAAGTTGGAGTTATTGACAGGTGGGAGTAGATGGAACGAGAATTTCTCAACCTTTTCTACAGCACTCATCGTATTATAGGTATGCTGGAGCTTACAAACATAAAACAGATGAAGGGTGAACCCGTGGTTAACTACATCAACCGTTGGCGAGCTTTAAGTTTTGACTGTTAGAAATTTCTGCAGTTGAAGCATGTATGCAAGGCATGAGCTGGGAGCTTCTTTACATCCTACAAGGGATTAAGCCTCGCACATTTGAAGAGCTTGTTACTCGAGCCCACGACATGGATCTTAGCATGGAAAATCATGGTGCTAGAAAAGATGTTCCAGATATACCCGATAACCTTCAAGAAGATGAGAGAATGTAATGACCTGGTCATTTTCTTTCCTTTCCATTTCTCAAATTTTCACGGATATTTTTTTTCGTTGATCTTTTCTTTTCTGAGTTCGGTTTCTCGTCACTTAGTGTCATCTTGAGTGCTCGGGAATGGTTTTCGACACTCTTTCCTTTGGATTGACGTCTTCCTTTAAGGACCGAGTCATTTTCACATTTTTACTTTTGTGACACTATTCACTTTTCGTCTTTTTTCCGTTTGTCACTTTGTTGGCGCAACCTCACTTTTCGTGTTCGGATTTGATTCTGGTTTTACATGCATCCACGATATTTGAATTCCATACTACGTATATTTTTACTTTTGTAGAAAAGCATGCTAGTTGTGTACTTTCTTCCTTAGAGGTGTGGATGCACACTTCTTTAGAATTTTTCTTTCTTTTAGGGTCATTTGTCTAATTACTATAAGTAATTATTTTTCGTCTTAAGGACCATTTTGCAATTTAATTTGGAAGATATTTTCAAAAAAGACCTTTTTGCAATTTTCGGAAAGTGTGACAAGTGTCACACTCTTATTGGTCCACTTGTTGACATTTGTGTGAGGACACTTTGATGCCTTGGATGATGACATGTGGAGGGTGGAGATTTAACCACTTGTTGACCAAGGATAGGTGCACTTGTTGGCTTGGATGGTTGAAAAGTGCAGGCTTAGGATTAAGCTTAGGAAGGAGCCATGGATTGGTGACAAATGTATGCTCCAAATTAAGTCTTGCAATTATTTTTTTGGGCCATTTTGGGATTATGTTGTTAAAGAAGGGTTTTTGTGCAATTGATCAAAGTTGTGTGTGTTGACTTTGGTGTAAGACCACATAGTGAGTGGAGGATTCCTATTTCCTCCACTTACATTCATTCACACTTGATTTCATCTTCTCCCTTTCTTGTCAAGAAAACCCAAGCCACTATTTGAGAAGCTTGATGCTTAGGCCTTGACCTTGATTTTTGAGGGCCTTCCACTCACCTTAGACCATTAACTTTGGGAGACAAAAGTTTCCTCTCATCTTCCTCTTCATAACCCTTGAAGGGTTTGCCATTTTGTGTTGTTTTGCCTTGAATTCTAGAGAGACACTTCTCTAGTGAGGTAGGGGGTGTTATAATTTATTTTCTGAGTAGTTTTACTTGCTTCTGTACGAAATATAAGTTGTATGCATGTCTTTTATTAATTTGAGAAATTAATGATGTATCATAGCTTGCATATAACTCATTTTAGACTTGGTATATGGCATGGCCATGACTTGATCTTTGATATATATTAAATTGGGATGATTTAAATGAGTTTTCAAATCTAGAGATTAAATGAATTTAATTTGATTTAAATTCTAGTTAATTGCGTTTTGATTGTATTCCATTTTAGACTTGATATATGGTATGATCATAACTTAATGCTTGTTATATATTGATTTGGAGTCATTTGGATAACTTTTGAAATCTAGAGATTTAATTAATTTAAATTAATTAAATTCTATTTGATGATATCTTGCTCATTTTGCACTTTTGATTTGATATATGTAAAGACCATGCTATGTTTCTTAACATATATTAATTTGAGGTTATTTGGAATTAATTTAAAATCTAGAGAATTTAATTATCTTGTTTAATTAAATTCTATCTAATGACTCCATGGATCTATTTGTATTTTAGAAGTTGTTTCTATATTCAAATCAAGGACTTGGACTTCTTGTGTATTCACTTGGTTGTGTT